ACATTGTTTCTATTGTGTATTTATAAATCTTTTTAATCATTTTAATCATTTTATAGAGAATCTTTTATAGAGAATCTATGTTGATCCTAGCTTTTAATATGTATTTAAAAATCTGATATAAGATAAAAAACGTCACAGAAAAGTTACATTTACATACGCTATCAAGATTTCATTGCAGATATTTCATTGGAAAATTATTCATAAAAAAATAAAAGTATATTAAATAAAAAAATGCATTACTCATATCGTGAAATAAACGCTTATCTCATTAATGTTTTGTGGCATAACAGGATATATGAAGTGATTTTCACAATTAGATATAAAATAGCTACATCAATAAGTAAAGTATCGAATTCCTTTCACTATTTGATCGATTACATAAAAAATTATTTTTAATTAATATAATTATAAATAATTGTAAATTAATAATTGTAATAAAGAATACGTCTATGTTTTATAGTTCATAAAAATATACATTGAAATAAACATACATATACATTGAAATATATTATTATATCTAATTTATCTTTCGATATAATCATATTAAATATTAATTGATGGGAAAATACAATTAATTAACAAATAAAATCATTTAATTTAAATTCAATTATTTTTCCAAAAAAAAGAAAGAAAAAAGAAAAAGAAAAAGAATACCAAACGCTCCAATAACTTCGTATAGCATACATTATGAATAATTGCAAATTGATATATTGTCACAAATTAAAAATGTAAAAAATTTTTGAAAATGTTTTAAAAATGTAAAGCATGAAAAAAATCTCTCTCTCTCCTCGCCTCTCCTATCTTCTCCTCTCCTCTCTACATCTCCTTCCCTCCTTCCTTCCTTCCCTGTCTCTCTCCATCTCATTCGTCAAAATTAAATTCAAACAATTTTATTTAACATATAACATAGAAATATAACAATGTAACATAGAAATTTGTACCTTTTGATAAATATAAATGAAGAGATGTTTAGTGTATTAAAAATCGTATTAAAAATCAGATTTTTAATAGAAAGCATTTTAATAAAAAATTCGTTTGATGAACGAAAATAAATAAAATCTAAAATTTGATATAAATGATATGACAAAGTTATCTTTGCTCATGCTATTGCACATTTTTTCGTATCTTTCATTCTCAAAATAATTTAACGACCGCGAATCTATATTCGTTCAAAGTCACGAACGCACCTTAATAGAAAGAGCGAATAACATATGAGTTCGCGACAAGATTCTCTCGTGAAGATAACAAAGAAAATTTGTCGCCTGACCGGCCAGTCCCAGTATTCTGGTCAGGGACACCCTGCACAGGCGGCGATAACAAAACGAGTTTTTTTCTTTCCCTAACGTATAACCACCGATCAGTATTTTGCAAAACACGTTTTGCTTTCAACGTTTTGTTTTCTCTTGCAAGTTTGGAATGATCATTCCCCGTTCGGCAATCGAAAAGCTTTATTGGATAGGTTTTAAATGTCCTATCCATAAAGTATGATATTGAAAATTCGGATAAACTATATTATATAAACTAAATTTAGTGTAACTTTTGTTATCTTAAACTTTTTCCGTCATTTATGATCGTGATACGATTTCAGATTTTTACTTTTACTTTCGGATCGTTATGATATGTAATTGGATCTCTAATTAAAGTTAATTAAGTGTGCAGCATTCTATAAGACTATTTTTAATGCAACTTTCCGTTAATAAGATAAAATTTGCTATCTCGTATCTATCTAATTTGAGCTTGGTTTAAATATACTAATTTCTTAATTCTTATAAATTAATGCACATTCGATAAAATTGATAATTGCGCACGGAAAAGCGTAGGATTAAATGCTTGGGTCCAATCGGACCGTGCAAGATTTCTAGTATCGAAACGAATTTTACAGGCCATCGAATTAATATATACGCTGGGAGCAAGATACAAACTTGTCAAGCGAGAAATATTATGTAATCAACGTAATCGTTCTTGAGAGAATCATATGAGGTGGCATATCGCGATAATTAGCCGTGCTTTCATCTTCAGCCGCGGTTCAGACAAGTCTTATCTACACGAACATCCAGGACTTGGGTCTTGAAGATACACACGTTGCGGCAAAAAAAGGAACGCGATATGTACGCGAATTTTGGAAGACCGCCAATCTCGTGCCGGATGTAGGCGAAAGGTTCGATCGACGAGACAGAAGTCTGGCTGGTTGGTCGGTCGGTCGGTCGGTCGGTCGGTCGGACGGTCGGCTATGCTTTCAGGGAGCAACGGCCTGCCTACGCGAATATGGTCGTGACGGACGCGACGGAAAGGAAGATACCGACGGGCAAGAAGAAGTAGAAGAGATTCCGCTCTCTTGCCCGAACTCTTGTCCAACGTGCAAGGTCCGACATCGGCGAGCGACCGATCGCGGACCGATTGGTCCCAGCGATCGCGAGAAGATTTTTGTCTCTCTTTCATGCTCCAGACTGTATCTATTATCTTGCATCCCCTTTCCTCCCATATAGTTAGGGTTTCCACCAAACGTCAATTATCCTGAAGTTTAACTGATTCTCCGTCCCCTGTCTAGCATTAAAATCTAGAAACAGAGCGTGCGCCGGTTAAATCAAAGTTAACAAACGGACTCTTTAAATCGGACTGTAGCGATATATCAGATTCCTAGGAGTATAAATCGTTCCCCACATGCGTGCGTATATGTGTGCACACAAATGGTGGTGGTATTCTAATGCGTGCAGATTTTTTGCCGAAAAAGACGCGCAGCGTTTATCTGCTAGCAACACGCAACCGCAACATTTTACGAGTCAAGAATTCTTGATGTCGCAAACGCACTAATGCGTTTATGACATCTTTCGGCGATAAGAGAAATCGCCAATCGCAATGCAACATGACGTGGTAAAACCCGCGACATCCACCGCGGAGGACAGGTTCTATTACGTCCATGTAACATCGCAATTGATGCTACTATTCGTTGTATTACAGTACATTAGTGTCATCGGATATCATGTCGGAAACGTAGCGCGACTATCTTATAAGTTTCGCGATCATGAATACAGCAAATTTTGCCTGCGATCCGTAAAGCTGCCGCGTAATTCCTTATCGTGGAGCATGATTTAGCATAAGTAACGCCCTATCACGGACCATGATCTGGCATAAACTTGTTTAATTCGTAAGCAAAGATCCATTAAGATCCTACCGCCCCTAATTGACAGTCAACGAGATTTAAACTATCAAATAGCAATTATGCCACATAAAATTTTCAATAAAACATACATCAAAGAGATATTTGAAAAGGATGATTATTTGTACTGCGACTTTAAATCAAAGCTCGTATTATATGTCGGGACATAGTCGTAAATTCCTACACGTAACTCGATTCACCATAAATTGATCCGTGGTGAATCGTAGACACTTGAGAGAAATCAAAATTTCAACAACGATCAAGTGACAAGATCAAATATTTGGATCTTCAGTCAGTCGATCATTGTTACGCGCGTTGCGTTGCCTTCAACCTTCCTTTCGGCGAGAAACCGCAGTCAGATTTATTGGATGGCGGGATAAGAGACTGGGATAAGAGAGAGAGCTTTCAACATTTGCCGAACAATCGCGCACGAAACTCGGCTTGGTCTTCGGAATTTTATGGGAACACATTGCCGTGTTCATCTCATTCGGCGCCGATTGCGCGGAATGAGAATCGCTGGCACGTCGAGCACGAAAACGTGGGAAAGGAGGAAGGGCGAGGGAGAAGAATGTGGATTAATTGAGATTTTAATTGCAGGAATATGCCGCCGTAGGCATAGCATCCGTATGTAAATAAGAAACATCGACTTGCCTCTTCGTTTAATGATGCACAAAGAAGTTGGAAGTCGTTGGAAGTCGTTGCTACGATGACATTGATTTACACGCGACGTGAGGATAGTCAGTGAAAAGAAGAAAAAAAAAAAAAGGAAAATGAGGTTTCGACCTATCCTGATTGAAAATCCCAGTCTAAATGGCTCGCGCCGACCTACGTAACGAGGATTTATCGCTGACCGTACTTGACTCCAGTTACGCATAGAACGCATTGTGTTGGCGTGGGGAGGTAAATAGAAATCTCACTTCTCAATTGAACGTATCTCGATTATTCTGATTGCGTTTGTATGGCCAAAGGTCGAGTTATGTGCATTACAATGGACAACAATAATGCGTCTGTTCCCTTCATATCGTGCCAGTAATAAACCTAAAAGTACTATAAGGATAAATACTCTATATAGGATAAACTCTATCAAGATATCATTTTCGATTTTTCCTTCTCTCGTAGAATTCTCGGGTAATTTTTAAAAATTTCGCAAGAAATGTTATTCCAATTTTCCTTTATAAGATACCATTCCATTTCATGCTATTGGATTTAATAAATTTAATTTCAAATTAAACTTAACGTCATTGAGAAACTTCGATCAATTGCAAAAACTATATACAGATGTAAAAACTGCAAAAACGACCTACGATCTCCGATGTGAGAAACGTACTGAAAAAAAATCTCACGTGATAGAACTGGGCTGTCTCGCGTTTTTAAAACTGTAATGACATCATTAAACGCTTTGCGTGCGTGTGATTCCTCGCGGAGTGCGAGATCACGAGACGGAGACCGTAATCATCCACCAGGCTTACAGGATAAACGATGGGGACCCTCTTACCTGTCCGATATCCCGCGTTGCTCAAGTAAGCGGCGAAGGAGTGCGGCTCGTGATCTCGTTGCCACTGGGGACTGCTGCAGTTGTCGTTGTTCGTGAAGACCTCATGATTGTGAACGTAACGACCAGTAAGCAAAGAGCTCCTGCTCGGACAGCACATGGGAGTGGTCACGTACGCGTGTCTTAGCTCGGCGCCCTCGTTCCTTATTCGCTTCAGAGTCCGTGGCATAAAGTTCAACGAACCTGCAAGGAAGAGACAACCATTTTGGATATGGCCAAATATCTATCTGGTTTAATCTACGCACGCTGAAATATGTCCATTGTCCCGCGATCACTTAATCATGCCAATTAGGGTACAATATCTTGTTTACCGCGTTGAATGAGAATGTATCATTGATATTTTATAGCGGAATATATAAACCTTCTCTTATGAATTTTATAATCCACATTTGAAATCAAGCTTTCGATAATAAAATATTTTTTTTACATGATACGCATATAAAAAAAAAACTATATATATATATATATTAATAATTTTTTATTTTAACACATAATAAAAAGAACGTGAAATCGAAACGTTCTCTAGAAAAATATTGATTTTCTAAAATCAATATTTGAAATATCTGTAGAAGATCTGTGGAAGATTTCGAATATCATTCGAGAACATCCGCTCCATTCAATATTAACAAACAAATTACTAAAAACAAATATAGAATTCTATGCAGCGTTACAGATAAGATTGCATTCTCTCTCGGATACGTATCGCGATATCACGGAGCAGACCTTCACAAGGACTGAGACGAATACCGCGACGGCGAGATAAGGCGCCAGCAGGCCGCCGCACGCAATAAACAAAATGAACTCTGTCTTCCGCGTAGGCATTTATACCGGCGATAAATGAACCCTCTCAGAAGTCAAATGACCGATCGGCTTCGAAATAAAAGGTAGAGAAAACTGATGAGATAATAAATTAATCGCACATACGATCCACACTATAAATAAAGAAATTTACGGAAGGCGGAGTCGATTGGCTCGAGACTTCTGAGAGGCTTGAAGAAATCCCATATGTTATTATTACGAACCTAGTTCAACATCTTGATCGTCCGTCAGAATCAGGACGATGTTCGGCTTCCGCTCTCGGGACTGCTGGTGCGGCAAATAGGGCGAGTTCGACTGATGATTGTAATTATTATTGCTGTTGTAATTCGACTTGTGTAGGGAGCCGCGACGATGCTGGCCGGCGTACGCGTCATCCGCAGGTCTGTCTCCGTCGGTCCGTCTGGCATTGACACCCAACAGGAGGAGAGCCAGAAATTGAAATAGCTTGCTCATGGCGGCGGCGGCGGCGGCGGCGGCGGCGGCGGCGATGGCGGCAGCGGCTGGTGGTCGTTTATGGACTGGCAACCTCAATCAAGTGTCATACCATGGTTGTGACTGGAACAGGAAAACGGAGCACGCATCACGTTAATGGGCGCGTGAGTTGAACGATAATTGGATCGCGGCGAGGCAAAAAAAGGGATTTAAAGAATCTTCCCCGCCTCGTACATATCTATAATGTATTTCTTAGCTCATAGGCTAAAACAAAAGATAAAAAAAGACGACGAGGATAATTGCGTGAAGGAAGGAAATCGATCATTATGAGAGATCGTTCTAATTGCAATTACTGTAATATTATATATTATCCTAATTGATGAAACTAATCTCTATAAAAAGTTTATGTAAGATATATTTTATAAAATTCAACTTTTAATTGTTATAAAGTTAAAAAAATGGATAGAATAATTGATATCTTTTAAACAAATTAATTTTATATAAAAATATCTCGCAAGCTACGCAATAGGCATTTAATTGCTGTAATAATTTTTTGTGTAGATATATTCCAAATAATTGTCTAGATAAATCTGTTGATAAATAATTATAAAAATTAATTATATTAATTTTATAACAAGTTATCATTTATATGCATCTTTATAAATATTGTTACTTGTTTTAAATTAATATTTATCAGTTACATATATATAACTATATAAATTTAAAATGTTTTAATAATAATCAGTATGTGCAACATAAACTATAAATATATAAATAAATATTAATATTAATATTATATATATACTTTTTAAATTATCAAAGAAAATTTCATATCTAATAATTTACGTGTAATATCTACGAATCAAACGTATATTTATATTATAACAATTATGAATAAAATGGTATTAAATTCGGAATCGTTCCAAGAATCAGATCTCAAAAAAAAAAAAAAAAAAACACAGTTCTATAATGTGAACAAAAATATATTTTAATTGTACTATATTTTATCATTTAGACGTGTATAGTAAAATATGCAGTACAATACACCAATGTACTGCGATTAAATATTCATCGAATGAGACATACCGATCATTCGATTGTATTCGATTGCATGAGGTGCGACACGATATGGTGAGTGAAATTCTTGCACGGCCAATAGGCATTATCCGTTAATACCCACGAGCGGTTTGTAGTTTGGTACGCGGTGCGATAATTATCTCCGATAAACGTGGCAATCGTATCGAACATCGCGATTGTTGCGTGCATGCGTTGCATGCATCGTGCGAAACAATAAACGGATCGCATTACTAGCAATTCGACGCGATTAACCGCAGATGCCCCGTATGCTATGCCCATTAGAGGCTTTACCGAGAGTGAACGCGATCAACCGTACTAACTACTAGACACGTCTTGTTACTCAGGAATGAAAGATGAGAGATGAAAGGTGCAAAAAGAATCACGTAACCTTGTCGGATCGTGAAAGCGAAGAACAGGACCATAATAGTACGGTTCGTATTTTATGGCAGACTTCGTTGTGCTGCTCCGTTACAGAGATCTTGTGATAAATTGGAAAAAGAATGATAAATAATCGCATTAACTTATATTAACTCTCCGTTGACTTAAAGGTGTATATTATTAAGATAGATCGTAATATATCTCGCAAATTTCTAATCATATTTAAAAAATACATCAAAAATTAACTAATATACGCTAAAAAAAATCTTGTTGCAAATTCTTAAAATATCTAATGTATAGAGATATTAAAGTTATAATCAATTTTGTGTGTGTGTGTGTGTGTGTGTGTGTGTGTGTGTGTGTGTGTGTGTGTATAATATTAAATATATTATAACTGTTACATGTTACAACTAAATTTTAAAAATTAATATATTTAAATGATTACTTACAAAATGTTTTCGTATCTTATATTTGCACAAAACAAAGATGGAATAGCTTATAATTAATTATAAAACCTATTTTTTGAATAATATCAATTAAATATTTTTATACGCAAAAAGTTAAAACATTTTATAGAAATACTTACGTAATTTGGTTTCATAAAATTGCAATTGCATTATTGAATTTATAAAAAAATAGCATAATAAATATTAAATGTTATCAAAATACTTAAATTTTCCTTTCATTTCTATCATTAATTGTATGATTCATTAAATGTATCGATTAGTGTCATGTATTTATAAAGAGAGTGGAGTGCGAAAAAAAAGATTTTTGTTTATAGAAAAAAATAAATCTGCGAAATATGCATTTTAGCGATAAATCATTTTAGAATGTGATACTTTCTTTTATTTAGAACAGAGAGATAAAAATTTGAAAATAAACCATATAACAATATATTTTCAAATGCCCGGCATCTTCATTACATATTCTTCTATACGTTTTTCAGCTACAGATTTTATTACTTTATACAACTATACATTATTCTATACCGAGATTTATCACAATTTTTGAAGCTCGGAAAATTCAATGTCTTTTCTATATAGTTCGATTAAATTAATTTTTTTCTTGATATACTCCTTCCTCACAATTTTTCATTTTTTTTATTTTTATACTTTTGTTATTTTTATTATACATAAGATTGCGCGTTTTTATGTTTGATTATATTAAAATAATTTTTTCCCTAAATAACGATAAATATTATCGATTAATAGCTACATTCAAATGTGAAAGAATTCTTCGAATAAACATCAATCAAAACAATTATTTTTATGATGTTACAAGATATTATAATACTGTGTATTTGAAAGAGAATAAATTCGCGAATCACATGTCGTCAACAGATTGAGAAAATGACTATAAAACATAAATTAATAATATAAATAATAAACTAAAATAAATATAAATTAATAATATAAATTAATAATAAATAATGTAGATTTGTAATTGTGACGTAAGTTTAGCATAGAATATCGATGATTTCGCGTTTTTCTCATTTTGTAGTTTTGCATTGTAGTTTTTAAACACATAATGTTGTAAAAATTTATAGATATAAATTTTTACAATCCGTTTATACTTACAATTTCATTATCTAAATGCACAAAATTTGTCTATCATAATCTATCATGGTTTATTAAAAGCATTTTCTTCAAATATGATTACTTTATAACTATAATATATATCACATTAAAACAGATACATGTAAAAGCAATTTGTAATCATAATTCAGAAATGTGTTAACTGATTAAACTCTAAGCGTTAAACAAAAAAATTGCCATTTATAGATTTTTATATAGCTGCGCGTTTAATTTAAAATAGAAATAGTCCGAAAAGAAAAAAATATGAAATCACCGTATTCTCTCGTATCTCTGGTATCTATTACAATTAAAAGTTTACAAAACATAATTTATATTTGTTTCAATTTATTGGTGGGATTTGTTACGAATTTATCGAGTGCAAAAACTCCACTTTCAAAAATTTACCAGTACTTCCAAACCAGTTACCAGTACAATCAATCAGAACAGTAATTACCATTTCTATTTCTGTCAATTATAACTAATCATTCTTATTTCCACATATGAGAAATTATTTGTGACAGAATCCATCTACCGGATAAAGTTAAATATAACGTAAAGAATTATAAGCAATACGTAATAAAGATATACGTATATATTGTATTAATCAAACCTCTGTTAAGCTAGCACCCCGCCCCACAAAAAATCGAAAAAATATATATGCTCAAATTATATGCTATTTATGTGCTAATTATGTGCTTTAGTCCCGATTTTTGTGCTCGCGCAGGAAATATGTAGAAATAGCATATATTTAGCAGGAAATAGGAATTGAAAATGGGGGTGCTAGCTTAACGAAAGTTAGCACTCCCCTCCCTATTAAAATTACACACAAGATAAAAAGTTAATAGCTCAGAATTATATGCTATTTATGTGCTTTTAAACGTTATAAAAATAATTAATCCATTGCTAATAGTTTAGAAGATATAGGCCAAAAAAATAAATACCTGTCAATCGCACAAGAGTAAAGTAAAGTTAGAATACAGATAGCGAATCGGTTTTAAGCTTAAAATGTTCCTCGATTCATGTGCTCTCAAAATATGCAAGATCCAATTTTTGTGCTTATCCCCTGATGATTTACAAACTACCCGTGAAGTCAGCATCGCCCGAACGAATAAGAGTAAAGTACCAGTACAAATAGAGATAGCGAAATTGGGTCTTGCATATTTTGAAAGCATAAATCGTGGAACATTTTAAGCCTAGAACCGATTCGCTATCTCTATTTTTACTTTATTCTTGATCGTTGATGCGGTGCTAACTTTCGGGATGGTTTATTAGTCATAGGGGATGAGCACAAAAATTGGATTTTGCATATTTTGAGAGCATAAATCGAGGAACATTTTAAGCTTAGAATCGATTCGCTATCTCTATTTTTACTGATACTTTATTCTTGTTCATTG